GTTCCTGGTGGGTTGGTTCGCTCCCAGAGACCCCTATTACTGAGTTTTTCTGGCCATCTGATCTTGAGTAGCATTGAGCGAAGGCAGCTGTTGATGGAGGTCTGTAGTTTGTTTGAGGTGCTCTTTATGACGCGGCGCCAAGTCTCTGATCCGTATAGCAGCACTGACTTTACACTGGAGTTGAAAATCCGGATCTTATTTTTCAAGCTAAGTGCTGCTGACCTCCACACAGAAAGTCAGTTAGCTTCTTCATAATTTCGACTTTCGGTAGACACATTATTTTATGTGGAGCATATCTCAGCGTCCGTATCTCACCACTTTTTGCGTTTTAAATAATCAAATACAGTAGTAATAATAATAACAATATTATTTAAGATTGATAACTGAGTTTAATAGATGCGAAACAACGACTGCTTCAGTAAGAGGATATGAAAACCAATTACATTTAAGTTTGTCTAGTATCCATCTCTACATGCTTCTTTGAGATATCCACAGTTTCACTGAATAATTCTCCACCGACCGACATCAATTGGACAATTATTAAAAATCAACAGGCAATGGACATAGCTGTTTCGTTTTAGTTAGAGACTCTTCAGTTTAAGTGTCTCAGTTTAAGGCAATCAATACAAAAAGGTTTGATGGTTTAGCTATCTAAAGTAGATTGGGTCTAGAAAGTGAATTAGTTGTGTGAGTTGTAAGTTTAATATAACCCTGGATTAACAACTCATAAGTCAGCAAAGAATATTCTTTTTTCTTAGATTCACTTTAAAGCTGCACAGCTATTTAACCAGTTTATATGTACAATGTTAAGTGATAATAAAAGGTCAGAGGTTGCTACCAGTAAGTAAGAAAGACAAATCAAAATGTATGAGAAATTTTAAAAAATGTGTGAAAAATAGTGAATGGTCTTACGTAATTGAGAAAGTTGACAAATAATTAGTTAAGTGATGAAAAGTCATTTACGGCGAATTCATTTTCATAGCTGTACAATCGCAAATATATATGGTTGTTTTGTATATATATATATATATATATATATATATATATATATATATATATATATATATTAAATTTGTCAAACGAAAATGGATGGTCCATCCATAGGAAACCCACATGGAGCGGTCAGCTGACAAGCTTCAGCAGCTAGGTACCAATCAGTCGAAAAAGGAACCTAATTAGATATCTTGTGACTCGTGTCCGACGCATCTGCAGCTCTGATACCCTGGAAGAAGAACTACACTTTCTGAAAGAAATCTTCCTACAAAGCGGTTACCCATCAAGATTCTTAGACAAAAGCATGAAACAGAAAATCCAAAAGCAAGAGACGTCACCCATGCCAAAGATGATACTTTACATAAATTCCGACTTCAAAGGTGAACTACTGAGTGATTTCCTTAGGAGGGGAGTTTTCACTTCTTTAAGAAGAACTTTCTTTGCGGCAACATTGAGAGTAGTGTTCTTCAGTCACCCGCTGATCTGCAGAAACCCAAAGGACAAGATACCGCACCTGACCACTTCTGTGTGTATATATCAATTCACCTGTTGATATGGTGCCAGGTACATCAGTCGTTCAACACGCATCATGTCAAAAAGGATCAAAGAACACTATCCAGCGTGACTGCAGAAAGGAAGTAGTGGCCGTATAAGAAGTGCAATAATTGGACATCTCGTCAACACTGGTCATTCCATCGCAACAAACGCTTCCTTCAAAGTAATCTACGAAGTGAAGAACAACCTTCCAAAGATGGTACGATTCCGTCTTCTTTGCATTTCAGAAGCCCTAGCCATCCAGTTGGAAGAACCAGAACTATGCATACAAAAGAAAATTATTCAACCACTTCTACTTTCATGATAACAACTCTGTTGATTTGACTTAACTTTTGCTTGTATGCTTATTTTTCTACCTACTTAAAACCCTTGCGTAATTCTGAATGTTATTTTGTTTCCATGTACACCCTAAGCACAGTTTTTTGATCACATTGTTACGTAACTCTTCTTTAACAATCGTTTGTGACAACTCATCACTTTTGTTACTACCCTCTTATATTAATATCCGATCCATTTGAACTTACCAATTGTATTTCCGTCTGACAAATTTAATGTACACACACAAATACAAAACAGGCATATATATTTGCGATTGTACAGCTATGAAAATGAATTCGCTGAAAAGAGACTCTTCGCTGAACTACCGGTCTTCTGTCTATTAATGTTCGAATGGGAATTTTTCATAAATAATCATCTGAAAATAATTGTTAAGAAACAAGAGAACAAAGAACTGAAAATGGGTTACACGACTTTTTACAGTCCTTTAATTAATTTTTTACTTCAATTTTCATCGTGGACTGACATTGGTTAAAAAACCATTGAAAACCAACAGGTATTTCGTCCTAGTCTGGGACTCGTCATCAGTATGCACCCGTTGGGTCTCGAACTCAGGACCTTCCAGATGCAAGGCGAGCTTGTAGACCATTCAGACGCTGAAATCCTACACAGTGGTGCATGAATCCCAACTTCTACCACTTTGTGATTTTAGCGCGACCACTGGCCAATGTCGTCTTCGAGTATTTATCCCTACTCCCAACCGGTTGGACATCACTGGTCACAACTACTCACTAGAACTCCAGTCAACTTCGTCCTGAAGCCAGTCACTAGCTAGAATTAGAATAATTTTCAAGAGTTTTTTTGTAGTCTATGGTCTACGAGTTCGCGTTGCAACCGGAAGGTCCTGGGTTCGAAACCCTGAGGGTGACCACTGCCTATGAATCCAAAACTAGGACGAAATAGCTGTGCAGTGCTCCCTGTTGGTTTCCAGTGGTTCTCTCACCGATGTCAGTTATTTTTTAATTTTTTGATTACAGCTTGATTCCACACAGTATTTTTGGTACAAGTATGGAATTTTCAGCATGGATATCGGTAGCCCAAATTTTGCAGGCCGACCATAGATATCAGGTGTGCGTCGGCAGGGGATCGAACCTCGGACCATGTGCATAGTCGGCGAGAGTCCTAACCACTGTGCCACCGACGCATGTGGTGAAACGTGAAATAGAAAATTAATTAAAGGACTTCAGAGAGTTTACCATTTAGTCGTGTAATCCATTTTCACTTCTTTGTTCTCTCTTGTTTTTTAACAATTATTTTCAAATGATTTTTCATCACTTATCTAATTAGTTGTCAACCCTTTATCGATTACGTCAGAATAGTAGCCGTTCTCTTCATGTATTGTTGTTTTTCATACACTTTTGATAGTAGCTGACAATAACCTCTGACCTTTTAATTTTTACTTAGCATCGTATATATATAAACCTCTGAATAACTGTATACCTTTGATGTGAAATGACGAAAAGAAATCTCTTCACTAACTAGTGTGCGTTTTGAAGTAATAGTAGATTGTAGAAAGGTTTGCACCAGGTAACTGTGAAGTGGCTCTGTGCAACAGACACTGATGCCATGAGGATAAATTATTCTCTCTGAGAGTAAATTAAATAGTTTCATTACTGAATATATACATACATATATTATTCCTGATCTTTCGCTGATAAATTGTTTATGAAGGAAAGCCTAAAAATCATGAAGGCAGAACAGTAAGAAATTAGAAGAATGCAGTAAAAGCATTCAGAAAACAATATCCTTGATATCTTTGATCATTCATAATAGTATTTATGTAAATGTAGAGCTTGAGCACTGTGGTAGAATGTCATTCCATATTAGATAGGTTTATTTCAAATATCCCACAGTGATGTAACGATGCACCTTTCAGGGATGAAAGTATTAAAAAGTAATAGTTAGGCGGAGTGAGAGAGGTTAAGCACTAAAATCCCTGTTTATCGATTCAACACTGCCCACGTGCAACCGAAATGACACAACGCCTATGCCGGAGATATGGAAAGTGGCAACAAAATGCAAGGAGAAGAGGGAGAAAAAGAGTAAAAATATAGACATATAAGACAAATTGTAGAGTCGTGCAAATAAACTGATATGATTACGAGTAATAATTTATGCTCGAAAGGTCATCCAGCTATTAATATCATATCATAACAGCATTTATCTAAATATAAACAAAAACTGATGCTTTCTGAAGGCTAGTCATAGTTTAAAGCACTTGAAGTGGCCAGAAGGAATAATACAAATCTGTAGGTTAGACGCTTAAAAATTATTTGTATTATGTATCTTAGGATAGGAAACATATTTGCCTATCTTTAGAGTAGTAGTTAAATCACTTTACTCAACGATTCCCTTCGGTAACAAATACCTACAAGGTGTCTCAACTGTTAGGTAAAGAGAGTTGCAGTATTACTTTAATAATTTTTCCTAAGTGCAGGTGGCAAATATCAACGTACTTATCGACGTAATATATTAACTGACGAATACAAGCATTTAGAGATGTTTGAAAATCGACGACTTTTGGTTGAACCCAGTCCTTCAGACCACTCTATAAGGTTCCAGGCTATGAGCAGCAGATAATGTGTAAGGGCTGGTGATACTAGCCACTCGCCTAGGCTAAAATTGGTGAACGGGGTTAGAACCCAGGAACCATTGGCTGAAAGTTGAGTGCTTAAGCCAGTGAGTAATGTCTCTGATGGTGTAGATAACAAAAAAGGTCTCGCATACGACAAACTCCCAAAAATATCCATGGTGATGAACTAAATATAGTATTGCATGTTATTTATACGTTAATTTATTTACATGCTGGTTTGATAGAATTCTCTCCAACCAAGCATGTGACACGGATTCGATTCCCAGCCGGAGCACTCCTAAACCTAAAGGTAAGGAGTGAGGGCAATAACTCCACCCCTGAAAAAACACCACCGCTACTGAAATTTCAGACCTCAAGCTTGAAGCCACATGTTCGACTGGGAATGAGATGCAATGAAGAAAAACGTTTGGTATACATTTTTATAAACAAAGAGACTGGCATACAATTCATAATACTAAACCGACAATTTTATTATTCATTCACTGACTCTGAAAGAAAATAATGCATCTGATAAAGAACTTACGGGTTTAATGCTGGATTTTGAAGATGATGAAGATGAAGAGGAAGAAGAAGTACCTGAGGATCTAGATGATTTGTCAGATTTATTACGAAATACACTTCCAACTGCATGCTTCTTTCGACCCATGGCTAACTAACTTCACATTAAATCGTATACTAGTCCACAAACTTATGCTAATAGAATGTGGTGTTAATTTTCTACTGACAATCTCCCACTTGAAGGCACTTTTAAGTCTCAAGATTTCACCGTTTATCCAGCTGGTGTGAAATACCTTTGATCCACTTCAGGACTATTGCCAACAGAAATCCGACGTAAGGGGACCAGGATATAAGAGGTAGGTAAAGTAAGATATCCCATCTAATGCGACTAGTTGTAGTAAAGCTTTGACTTTTCAATAATTTGAATAGTCCTTGCTCAATCAATGAAACAAGTCTATATCCTGTAAAGTAAAAAAATATAAATGAAAAAGTTAAGGACTTCTCATGAATGTATTTAAGCAGTATTAATTAGCAAACAAAAATGGATCGGAAGACTTCAAATTTTGATCCATAAGGAGTTTTTTAGGATCAGTCATCTCCACTAAGGTGCGTCGGTGGCACAGCGGTTAGGACGCTCGCCAATCATGCACATGGTCCGAGGTTCGATCCTCCACCGACTCACTCCTTTACCTCGCTAAGCCAGAAATAATGCTGATAAAGAGGAAAGGTCGGGCATGAGGCTAGCAACCCCATCCTGTAAAAATAAACACTGCTACAGAATCTCCAAGCCACTAGCTTGAGGCCCTATGTTCCAGTGGGAACGTGAAGGATAAAAAATCGCCACTAAGTGTAAAAGTAGTTTTTACCAAAGACCGACATCAGATGCGTGATCTTAAAGTATAAGTCGTGAGGAGCTGAATGACTTCTTTTAAGTAGGTGTTCGCAGATGGAAGACGCCGTTATTGTATGCTTGCTCCTCACCAGCTAAACAGAGATAGCGTTCCGCTTCATGTTTCCAAGGAACACGCTTACAACATCCAATGTAATCAGTTCCAAAGCAGTATGTGAAATAGTAGAAGTGCATAGGGGTGGACATAGACGGTAGTTTATCCTACACGCATTTTCGAATCACACTTCTGCTAGAGAATACCAGGTATAAGTCAGTGGCATAAAAATGGCTCTTAATGCACCTGGATAGATGACTTTAAATTACTTCAGCGATACAGTAACTTTTGAATGCCCAACTCATAAACAGTGTCCTCTTTAACACTGTGATTTGACCAGGAGTGATTTATTTCTCCATATTCCTCTCAGAGTATCTTAAACAATATCCATTATTTAACAGTGTTGTACAAAAGTTTTATAGTTCCTTGTCAACAGTATCTTTAGACTGAATTTTCAGAATTCTGGGAAATAGGGTATGAATAAGGTTTCTTTTTCTACCTACAGGTATTAAACTATTGAAGTTATTGTCCTGCCCTAGAAATGTTGGCTTTCAGCAGATCAACCTTTTCGATAAACTATCTTCTCCTCTTGGGGGAATTTGGTTGATGGTGACCAGCACTGGAATCTAGGATGCGCATTTCGTTCCCTTTGGGGCTCTTTACTGGATATACCTTGGTGGGAACACCACCACTTACTTGGGGACGCGGATACATCCAGAAGACGAGTTCCAGGCAGGACGAAACACGTGTCTTAGATTCCAATGTTTGTCACCACCTACCAAATTATTTCAAGTTTATCCTTAAATATCGTTAAAGTGTCTGAACTAGGAGTTGACATGACAACAAAAGCCGAATATTTCGGTCCAATCAATCGATAGGAAAATCAAAAATTGAATTAAACACAAAACACATCTTCTCCTTTGTTTAGCATAACATCTATTTCATATAAAAATCAATCTTTAAGGCTTATTGGTTAACCGATGAGTGTTAAATAAATTTAGTCAGTTGAGAAGAAAAGAACAGTAATCAGACAATTTGCTTGCTTACATTTTTTTGTTAGTATAAAATGAACTGCAAGACGAAACTTCAAATGAAATATGAAATAATAATTGATCACATGTATCTCACCTTTTTTTTTCTTGTTAAATATGTTTTTATTTTATTTTAAGTAGAGTGATATTTAATTGTCACAACTTGTCACAAGATATATCGGTAAAAATAAGGAATAATTGTAGAGATTCCTCTGATACTTATTTCAATACATAGAAAGCAATTTCATAAATAATATAAGAATGTGAGGAGGTAATAAAGCCTTAATACGTGTTGAAATTTTAGAAGACTAAATGAGATTTAAATATAGGGTGCTTTAGTTCCAATGAACGCCGAAATAATGTTCATTAGTCAACTGGTAATGCTGTGAATTCTCATATAACCATAAATATCGATCCAGAGTACACATTATAGTGATAGATTTTGGTTGAACTGAAATAGAATTGATTATGGTACGAGGGAGATAAAGCGTCACTTCACTAGCCATTATTGTATAGATTGTGAGCACTTCCGGTGATTTTCATTGATTTTCTTTCTTTTCTCCCTTCACTCATATTTAACTTTAAGCACTACAATATCATACTTCTTTCTGTTATCCACTTTCTTGTGTACTGTTTCACAAATGTAAAAACTTGAATCGATATACTTCTGCATTGGTAAGCGTGTCATCTAATCAGACTGTAGAGGTGCACTAAGTGTATATCACAGTAATAACGAGTATAAAGCATTACTATACCACTGCTTTCAAGTCAGTTCTTTGTTGAAAATGAATTGGATACCGGGAAAAACTGACGATTATATCTGACTATGCAAATGGCTGACGGGGGTGGGGGTAACAGTAGTAATAATTGCTTTATCCTAAGCAATATTTTTTTACCTAAAATGGAATTTTCAGCCCTGCACTTCTTGCAGTAGTTGGTCTCCTCTTACAAATAAATAAATAACATAATAAATATTTTCTATAGTTTGGTTTGTAAGGGTTAGTTTTGTTTTAACGAGTTGATCACGAATTGGTAGAATTTAGAATTCATGAGCAATTGAATCGGGTCCCAGTGGCTGAATGGTATACGAGCTTGCCTTGTAACCAGAAGGTCCCGAGTTCGAACCCCAGTTGGCGCGTACTGCCGATGATTCCCAAACTATGATGAAACATCTGTCCAGTACTCCCTGGTTTTCAATGGTTCTCTAACTAATATCAACCCGTGATCAACTCACAATAATAAATATTATAAAATATCAAAACCTAAATTTAAAAGAAGGCGGATATATGTAATAATAATTCTCGTGATAGGTTGCTGTTTATTTTCAAATTACAAAGTGAGTTTATGAACACTTTTCCGACATTTGTATCCTTACACAAAAGGCATGCTAAATATGGTTTGGTTAAATTTATATATATGAAGCTGTACGAGCATAAATTCTTGTGAATGAAGAGGAGGTTCACTAACCAATAGAATAACATTGGGCAACTCCTTGAAAGAATTAAAACACCTATCAACGATAGTGTCAGTCAGCTGGGTCAAAAGTATACCATTAACGCTGGTAGTAGCCCTCAAAGTCCTAAGAAATATAACGTAGGCTTTGAAATAATTATAATAATTGCATAAAGTAGGCTTCTTCGAGAATTCCGGAGAGGAATAATGAGTGAATAATAAAGAAGAATGGGAAGTTTTGTCGATGTTTGTGGGAGTGATTATTTACTGTCATTAATAAATATGTCATTTGCAAGCTGCAGCCGAAGCAGCTCTAAGGGATCTGCCTAACTCCAGCAAGTGTATTATATTTACACTTACTGAAAATATAATCTGAATTAAAAAGCTTATCTGTGTAACGCTTTGCATATACTAACTGAAGTAAGTCGCAAAATAAATAAATGCCTCAATATTTTTGCCCTTCTTGTAAAAAAAGGCTACAAGGATTAAACAACTTCAGGTTGGCATTGAAGATGTTCTACTGAAAGACCTAAAAAGCCTCTCGACTAAAACAACTACCTAAGAGGACATAACAGCATCGAAATAATCCATTTGAGTTACTAAATCTAACGTATCACTTCAAAAACTAAGGTTAGTTATATTGACATCGTCTAACAATTGATATTATCAGATATCCTTCTTACCTCAGTCATAAAATTTGCTTTAAATCACACAAACCAAACTCTCAGTGACCACATGAACTAACGAAATGTGTAGACCTGACAACGTTTCCTTAAGAAACACCAGTAACTTATATACCAGCAGTAGACATAGAAACGTATGAAGTGGTTAACTAAGTCAGTATAGATTTAAAACTACATAAATGCCAGGAATCATAAAACACAAAGTCAGTTGGTGAATGGTGACTAGCAGTGAAATTCAGGATGCGCACTCCTTCCCGTTTGGGACTCTTCATCTGTACCACGCATTCGGTCGAATCAATCGACAGGAAAATCTAAAATTGAATTTAATCATAAAACATAGTTGTGTCTCGGTATTTTTGTCAGCTGGATACACAATAGCAGTCTTGAAGGGTCCCCTATTCAAATAATACAAATCTGTATGTCTCCATCTTAGGGTCACAGTGTTCTATATATATATATATATATATATATATATATATGTATATATATATATATATATATATATATATATAGAATAGATAAAGGAAGTTGTTTGTCCCTACTTTTCCTAGAAACTAACTATAATAGTCACCATTTTAGTTGACCACATTAAGAGAAACGGACATCATTTACGAGTCACTATGATTGTTTTAGCCCGTATTTACTCTTCATTATATCGAAAAAAACTGTTAATGTAGCGAAAGTGTGACCACTCAGTTTTAGTGAAGCATTTAACCGATATATTTAGGTGCGTGCTCTACAGTAAATGGGAATGTATTCAAAATGGTATCTCGTATATTCTACAATTGGTAAAGGGATATTATTTGTGAAATCGAACTCAATGCTTAGTAATATACCATTGTGTATACGCAGCAAGGCATCACAGGGACTGAAATATTCAGCAGGAGCTGAGATTCAAGACAAAATAATTTCTATAGTTAGGCGGTTGCAACACACAGCAGACATTTAGTGTTAACTACTGATTATAACATCGAAAAGACCCCAACAGTTCAACTTTTCATACCTTCCACTATTAATGCCTATCTCACAATTATAAAGAAGGATGGAGCAAACTGCTGCACTATACACATTTCTTAGATGGATAGTCGGATATCACACCTACGCCGAAGGTTGTGTAAACTAAATCTTAAACCAGCCTTCTGCACTTGTACTATGGTTTCATCGGTATTCAAACTGTTAGGACTGATGAAACTGCCTCAGTAAAAATATCCGACTATTTCGGTGAAGATTAGTCTGGCAGTTTCGTTTTGCATCCAACGGAGGACAGTCCCATGCCAAAAGTAAAGTTTTTGTCCAAGGCGTTCAGAAGAATCTGCATTTTTTCAGCGACCTCACCTAGGAGAACTTTGCCAAATAAAACCTTTAGTACAACATAACACAAAAAGTAAAAAGTCAGTCGATAAGACCCTGAATTTGGCCACCATTACTATGTGAAATAAAATGAAAAGGAATATACTAGACACCTATGACAGACGTCTTTGTATGTCTTAACTAAAGAATACTTCTCCATAAGCTTTTATATGGCTGCGTGAATCGGAGCAAAGTGCCTTATTTAGTACAGTGAGCTTTCTCTGTAATCTGTCCACAAACAGATAATGCTGCAGTCAACGGATTCAAGTCACCTCTTCAGATCAAGAAATAAGGCGTGAGTCAGACTCCGGCAAGCATAGCTATGTTCAGAACCTATAGAAGGGAGATGTGATTAATAAACCAAAAACCCTAAATCCCACCTAAAACTTACCACTTTTTTGGTAAATACCTAGTGCTAACTTTGGCCTGTTCTAAGATTCATTAAGTGCATCTTGACTGACATAGATTGCCGAATATCAGAGCGATGTTAATAGGGAAAGTTTCAACATTGGTGTACATCAAATTAAACTGCATTACTGCGGCAAAAACAATGGTGATCCAACCTTAGTCAGTGAACGAAGCAGATAAAGATTAAATTTAGATATTTCTAAGGGTCATGAAGGAAAACTTAAAGAGAGGTAGTGGTAATACTATTCTGAAGTCAAACAATAAGCATCAACTAACTAGCTGGAAACACAAGATAATTCAGATTCGAAGTAAAAGAGAGTAGGATACATGAGACAACTGTCAGTGAAATCGTTTAGTACAGGGCAGAACAATATCGATCTCCAAAAAATACCTAACAAAGTTAAATTATCAAATTATGAGTGAATTCCAGTACCAATAACTTTAAAATTTAAATGAATTCACCATGTGTTTTTATACGGTCTCTGCAGCAAACGGGGGATAGAAAGCGCGCAAATATTAGGATATTTTTATTTTTAACTCCCAATGAGGCCTTTAATTTCAAGGGAAAGAGAGCATGACATATAATTATGAAAAGTTCTACGATCATATAGAAGTCAACTCCTCTATTATTAGAATAAACTTGAATGTTAAGAGCATAGCTCGATAAAATAACTTGAGACTGACCCCACGGATGAATCCCAAACATTAAGTGACAAAATATTTTGAATAAGTCCTGCTGTAAAGAAGAAACACTTAAACATGGCTATTTTGTGTAAATTCAACAAAATAAATTTACATAATCTGAGAAGCAAAGTAGCTTTTACGCCCCTCAGAATCTCCGATAATTCATAGGGTTTTTTTCGTTCGTTGCCAGGTGTGGGAATAATATCGGTAACATAATATAAATATCTCAGACGATTTGTAAGTATTGAGTCAGTTTGACATGAAATAAAATGTAGAAACTCAAATAAAAATATATGATAAAGAATGAGAAACTGTAATGCTTACCGAAATACTTGACTTCGTGAAGTGTCTTCTCACTGCCAATACAATCACAGCGCGGGAGATGCGCTAAGTTTTGAAAGTGTGATAACCTAAGTATGCTCTCAATGAGAAAGTAAAACAAATATATATTTCAACTTCAGCAGGTAGCTTTAGGATCGGATACACATAAAGATGTTCAGTTCCTTGCAAATAATACTAATAGCAAGGAACTCGAACTGCACTATGGTTAAAACACAAGCTATTTGTCTTGAAACTTTATTTACCCTTCATATACAAAATACTACTGTTATTTAACGGCAGACAGGGCAGAAGCATACTAAACAGAATTAACGCATGAAACAAAAGCCAAACGACCCATATTTACTATCACAAAAACAGATAAAAACAGTAAGCAGTCATAGTGTTGGCCACGTGCATACATAACCTAAGAAAAAACAACATGCTAGGTGGTAACATGCCCTAAAACATATTCCTATAAATCAGATAACTTTTCCTGAGATTATGAGCACAAACTGCCGTTGTGTCAGGTAAAATTAACTGTCTTTAACCCCTCATGTTCTCCTATATATCCAGAAATGCAAGAATTATAACTATTCTAGAAACCTGGCTCTATGACCTACAGGATGACAACTTAGCCTGTCTGAATAGTTTCAGATTATTCAGTCAAGATCAGTGTAGCTATAAAAAGAAACGTGGTGATGGGGTTGTATCATCCATCAACAATGAGTGGTGTACTTCAAACAGTATATGTTTTAGGTACTCTAGTGACAAAACTGACCGAATCATCTGCTTAGATGTAACTAAATACACACTCCAAACATTCATATTGTACCTGGGTGTAGCCTCTCAGGACTATCTTCATTTGCTGTTGAATTCACTTCCTTTGCTGTTACCTCCCTTGGAAACTCCTTGCCAGTAGTTACTCGTGATTTCACTCACATCATTAGGTCATGAAAATATTGACAAATTCTAAGCACGCTTGGAAAATACCCTTAATCTAGTATTTACAAATGAATTCGCCATATTTGAAGCCCGGAAAGGAACTCCGCTATCTTATTCCGACCATTGCATCGCACGTATATTGCCTGAAATATATGGGAAGCTGCACAAAAAAGGCCTTCTTGCACCTTAGCAAGAAAACACAACATAGATGTTACTCCCATGACAATACGCGGAATCTAAGAAGCATGATAAAGGATACTAACCAGGATTTATTTGCTGAACAAGTGCTAGGTGACACAGTCACAAATGTGAAGTGATTTCGAAAATTCTGTCTTGATATTTGTTTTCCGTAAGAGACAATCTACTGAAGATTTGACCGCTTCTCCTCTTCTCAGCCCAAGAAGCTTCCCCGAGAAAAAGACAAAATTATAGACAATCTTGGTGTTAAGAGAGTGAACATTTTAATTTATTCAGGAATGCGGTGATAAAATATAATCGATTATCAGAAGTTTTTATCATGCAAAACCTCATCAAATATATGGAAGCTTTTAATAGAATTCACCGGGGGTAAACAAAAAAATTATTATTCCTGTTCACTTGATGCTGGTGCTCTTAATAAGTCCATCTGATGTTATGGTTTAAATGCTACAAGTGTGAACAGCAAGTGCATCTCTAGATTTAAAGCAAACGATTTCCTTGAATTTCTTCGAATACTTGAGCTCTATGCAGTCCCGTGGTCCATATTGTGCACCAGCCACTATTCCGGAAATAAGTGCTGACATCTTATTTTATCCTCACATCGGTATTTTCAGTGAATCACCTTCCCTTAACATTAAACCTGAGCCTTGGGGGACATTGAAATTGCGCCTATGCCAAAATCACTAGTTGGGCCAACTAATAAGTTCAGATCTACAGCCAATACTTCATCTAATTTAAAAATTATAGAAAGACTGCTTTCACCTGACCTTGAACCTTCATTGAAAGTCTCAAACGACCCTAATCAATTTTCTTATAAATGTAGTAGGTGTAGTTTAGGTGCCACCGCCGTATCATATCATAATATTGTCTCTAGGCCGGGTAGAGTTCACAAATATGTTCGGTGTACCTGCGTGGATAACACACCTGCCTTCGTCCGTGTACCTAGGTCTCTTCGGTTAAGAAGCTGGCTCTGGAGAAAGCAGGGTGCTGGACTAATAATTGGTTGGATTCTTATTTTTCTGGTAGGAAGCAGTACACTGTTTGCAATGGGGAGTCCTCCACTGCCTACTTCACTTACTCCAGCTGGTGTTCCTCAGGGAGCTGTTGTTTCTCCTTTTCTCTTTTTCTTTCCCTCACATGACTTTTCCCATTCCAATGAGGCCAATTTTCTTAAGTATGCTGATGATTTGACTGTTTCTTCGTCATTTACTTCTCAGTCAAAATGCTTCAAAATGAATGACTTTTTAACAGAAATTAGTCAATGATCCTCGTCAAATGGTCTCAAGCTTACATGAGCTGGTTATTTCGGACGGTTACACGATCACAGATGGCACAGAAGCCGAAGTGAAATCATTGGATAACCATAACTACCAGTTGGAAGCGAAGCGAAGTTTGGTTTAGCGCTCAACCTTGGTGGCGACCTTGGTCAAGGGTCTACAATCTGACATTTAAAAGAACCCTTTCCGATTGTTTGTACTAAGAATTACCATCTGGAATTAAGAAAAAGTGCCATTTTCGATACCTCACAACTGTAATTCATGATATAACTGATCGTGCCTGTCAAAGTGGCATGCATTTCTTGCCAACTTACCCATTGAAACGAAATATAAATCATTATTTCGAATGCCAAATACCTTGGATTATGTATTTTCTCTGATATTTCCTGGTTTCTACACGCCATGTTAGTTTTCAGAAAGATATTTCGTTTGGCATTCTACGTAGGGAAGTTAAGATGATCTGGTATTATTCCGTCTTTATTGTTATAGTTTGTTAATTCTTGTATTCTCCCCACACTTTTTTACTGTTCCCTCTTAATGTTTCCCGTGTACTTAAGAAAGACTTCGTTATACTGCTAAACGTGCTGAAAGCTGTCAGTAGGGCTTGTAGGGTGTTTCTAAAACAACTAGTTAACACTACAGTAGATAGACTTATGGACTCCTGCAAGGAATTAGCCAGTATTATCTTGTCCGATTCTGAGCATCCTCTCCATTCACGACTCGTAATAACAATGTTCAATAAGAAATGAATATAAAATTAAATTAAGTGGAAATGTTAAGCCAAAGTCTTACAAGGAAACAGTGGGACGGTTCACTTAGAGTTATTCAGTAGGTCGGTGATTTTCCGCCTTGCGCTTTGTCATCACACAGTTTGGACCATCTTACTTAATAGTCCCAGCTGGCGTTGACATTATCATATATATCGCCAATAGTCTATAAGATACTATCTAGGTAGGTTGTAAATGACGGATCACGTTAAGTATCTCCTAACGGTGATGGATTGTGCTTGTTGTTAGTCTGATATCTTCATATTGGTCTAATGACTGATGCACTGCCTAACACATTGCATAATACTTCACAGTTATTCAGTTTCTAAATTCTCCCAACCCATAGAAGATAAGTGGCTAAATCTCCTACATTAGAGTCTCTAATTGACATCGGAGACTATTACAAAGGAGTTGCCTAGATTACGATGCATTTCCACTAAGTTCTTCGATGTGGGACTGGAGGGGCGCTAATACGAATGCTTACGGTACCCGCTTGTTCCGCGTAACTTGATTTTTTGTAAGGTAGGTACCCGATCACCACAATTGTGTTTTGTTGGCTTTTGTTTATACTCAGACCACAATGCACAAACGTCTTTGAGATGCCATGTGAAAGCTTTAAAACTGTCTCGGGCTGAACTCATTTTAAGAGACAATTGTGTAGATGTTGACAACAAGCTGCATAGGGACGCTCATAGATTTTAAAATGCTAAGGATTAGTAGGAAATGGCGAAATTTTATAAAACTCTGCCCACTACAAAATCAGTGGCCAAGTTAGACTTCAAGCTAGTTCAGTTCTCAGGACAATGGTTTTCATCCTTATCAGAGCTCACTGCTTTAACCTAAGTGGGACCCTATGCTAATGGACGATAACCGTTTGTTTATACAATAGCTCGCTTCAGTTTCGTAATTTTACACAGAAAGAGGAACACTATTTTAACTCAAAATAACCGGTCATATGCGGAGATAGTGAGGGAGAGACTTCAAAATCTCAGCTGATATCCGTTGTGGTTAACTTGGTCAGCTGTATGCTTTCAGTATATTGGTTTTCGGCTGTGTATATTTGTTTGTGTAAGCGCGTTATAACTGACAGTTACAATAAGAATGAGAGTTACTCCTATGTGATCTTTGACTTCTCGTATTAACTAACCATAGTTGCCTTGAAAGCATAGTTAAATACTGGTAGTAATTTTATCAGCAGTAATGTCCTTGTCCAATACTAGTATATTTCATAATTGTAAATATTCATAAACCTATGACTGTGTTGAACAAGATATTTGGTTATGACCACGAAAAACTTACTTTTACTCAAAGGGCATGAAAGTCCATTATTTTACAAATTAAAATCCCTGTATTACAAAAATTAAGTCTTCATAGCATTTCTGAAGCAATCTCGAAGAATTCCAGTTCAGATAATTCCCATATAAGCTTTGGTTTTAAAAGTTATTTCCCACTTTCCATATACCTTAAGCGTCTTATCAATAGCTGTGGTTTGCAATGTCTATATACACAGACATCGCTACCCAACTGTCAGATGACTGTCCTGATGGGTTTATACATTCATTTTAAGTTTTCCAGAGTCGATGTTTCATTAAGGATTACAATTTACCACCTACTTGCTGTAATTTCCTCATAAAAATATCCACGACTCAGCAGGAGGTATCTGCTTGTACCTTGACACTTAACAAATTTTTTAAACAAATTTTTGATTTACAGCTTGATTCCACCCCGTATTTTTGGTACAAGTATGGAATTCTCAGCATGGATATCGGTAGCCCAAATTTTGTAGGCCTACCATAGATATCAGTTGTGAGTCGGCAGTGAATCGAACTTCGGACCATGTGCATGGTCGGCGATAGTCCTAACCATTGCGCCACCGACTCATATTAATGCACCATAAGTTATGGAAAAGTATGTATTGCTACTACTAAGTGCTGCAGAGTAGTATGTGGATAAACTCAGATTCATTCTGCAGGTGTTTCTTTTCAGACATGAGCTTGTGGATTTCCCACAATTTCTTGAACAATCCATAACTTGATGATAATGCGGTGTCAGCGAAGACAACTCTGTAAGTGCCTGACATTTGAGGGACGCAGTTCAGCCCCTTATCGGTTTATGAAAATTGAAGGCACTTCCAAAGAATTACTAGCTGGTGCGAGTCTACACTTATTTTATAGTGACTGACTGATATCAACGTAGAACTTTGCACAGTAGTGCAGCATATTGAATTGCCACACCATGTAGCACATAAAGCAAGGGAAAAGAGTTGAAAGAGCTTCATAATATAGATAACAAACAGAAGTGTCAGGCAAAAAGACTAGTAATATGGAAGAACAATAGTTTTTCTGGATATGATAAATCATAAAGAGTGACTGCATCTGCGCCATCACTTAGAACGATTTCGAGCCATCTCACTAATTATCTCCAGCCCTCATTGGTTTTTTACCATCTCAAGGAGCCCAGTCAGGAAGCTTACATCTCCCTACGTGACTGGCTGGCTTAAACTAACTGTTGTGGATTTGACTGGCTCATGTCATGTTTTGGTTTGACCACCACCAGGCGTTTTCCAACCTGATCCAATGTCAGCGAACATTGCCTGTCGAGGAAAGCTATGGCTAGGCTAGGCATGCGTAACACATGTCCTAGCCATCTCAATAGGTGTAACTTCACAACCTCGTTTTTAGTGTGATATGGTGTTTGAGCGAAACCGAAATGCTAAGATAAACATATAAAGTAGTAAAACCCACAAAGTAACTGGACACTTAAGCACATTTTTTGTAAACTGCTTAATGACAGTTACTGATTATGATTTGCTTACCTTATAACTGCATCTTTAGAATCCAGTGATCCAGTAGTAACGCAATGGATCATAGTCGGAATTTCGCAGACTGATTGTGTGTGTGTGTGAACATAACAATCTAGTAATATATTGATAAATCTATGCTAAATAACGAAAGCTGTTGGTTTGTGCATACAAGCTGATAACTAATATATCCTAACATTAAAATTCATGGTGTAAATGTATTTCGGTTGACGACTATTTAGCATCTAGATAGCGTTATTAACCCTCACATTAAGTTTGGCTCGTGGTTTTGTACATAATAATTCCATTTCAAGTAACTGAATTCTAACACCAACATAACTAATGTCGTTTAGATCATTTTACTTAGTGAGGGCTTTTTCTTTCCAATAACCATGTTGGTCTTACTGTCTACCGTGAGTAGATTGAATAAAGTTAGGCTGATTGTATTTGGAAGGGGTTGGGGTCAACTGTGATTTAAGTTCTAGCCAAAACACCTATAGAACATCTTGTTTTTCTTTATATGGTATACTCAAACTGGTCTGTTAAGGACAATTATGGTGATCAGTGAAACACGTAATGAGTTTCACGTATGCTGATGATGACTGGAATCTACATAATTGGCATTGGCCACTTAGCGCATGAGTTAATTCTTGGTTACTAGTTGTCATTCAAATTTGTCATTTCTAAAGATCAGCTCTTTAAGTTTCATCGAAAAACTACTGGTACAACGTTCATAGGTTGCAAAGAGGTCAAAGTTTAAACAATATACAAACATACAAAATTAATGATCGAACACGTTGAAAACTGAGTTGTGCAATCACGAAAAGAAGTGAGAATTTGGTGATAAGTAACTAATCCGTTGCGCAAAAGCGTGAAGATTTCAACTCAAGTCATAGAAACAAAAAAGGGGAACAAACTAAGTTTCGTCAAAGCAAAAAGAGGGAGGGTTGTGGCAAAAGATTATGCAGTCAAACAGGGGAAAGAGAATGAACGCTGAGCTACTAGGGCAAGCAAAGACTGACAAGTGAATCTTCCTGAACACATAAATCAGGTTTTAAACATTTGATAGCGATTGTTTTGATAAATTTTTCAGTAAAGTTGAGTTATATTGTCTATTAATAATCTTCAAGGGTTTCACGCTGCACACCTCATGACCCGTATCAACAAGATGACTTGCAGTAGCACTGCTACCTTGAGATGTCAGGCGTTTAATACATGTTCAGAGAATATGATATGCCTGTCTTTCTGTTCTTCCAATGTAACTACTACCTCAGATATGTGTAAACTTAAATACACAATTAGAGTTAACATAGGAAGGGTTTCAGTCAACCTTTGATTGCACCAAAGACTATGTTGTTCGATAAACCGGAACTTAAAACCTCTAGGGCCTTATATGCCTTTGGTGTATAGCCTGCTAAAATACACAAGCAAGATGCCCATATAAAACCTATATTGTCTATGATCAGCCCACATCACAAGGTTGCTCGTCAGGTTGCATAAATGTTGAAGCCTATTCGTCAACGACTGTGTACATATACAGTTTAATCTTTCATATTCCTTTCTACCATTACCCATTCTGTTTCACTCTTATACTTGTCAAACTCTATTGATTCTCTTCACTCATCTTCTTGTCTACCTCTGTGTGCTATTGGAACGTGGCAACTCGAACTTCTGCACTTCGGTGCCAAGTTCTATGTTGAATCCAGACAGACAGACAGTTTAATACTCATTCCATTTTTCCAAAGCCTGAACAACACGAACTTTTCCAGTTAGTTTATGGTGTCATTTGATGTAACCTCCCTATTCACCGTCGGTATTATCTACCAGCATTCACAGCTGCTCTGTTTGTTAGTGCTGGAATTTAAACGTCTACTACTTATGTGCATCATGGATGCACACTTGTACATTGTTAATACCCCTTGCCGTCAAACAGATGGGCAGTCTACCAGGCCCAGTACTAGCAGACATCTTCATATCTAATCTTGAGATAACAAAGAATTTTTTTTATCGTTGTCTGGTTGTGAAAGTGTGGTACACCAATAAAGACATTCTACTTATGTAAAAACTTAAGTAATCACCTTAGGAACAGTGGTAATCATTATTGAAAGGAAGGAAGACAAGTCTAAACATAGTTATCAATCCTCGGTAACTGAGTTTGCCGATTCACGTGTTATTTATGTCGAGCCACGTATTTTCTTGGTGAGAAATGTTAGGTGAATTAAAATTACGTTGGATTGCACTTAAGGGGGGCTAGGTAGTTTGGTCTGTGAAGTCACTAAATGTTGTCCTGAGTCATAGGATAGTGTATGTTGGTTGGTTGGGGGGGGGCGTCGAGGGGCTGATGGGTAATGGTCGATGACTTTTGATGCGATGATTCGAGATCGTTGACATTACCATCCTTGCCTGTTTCCCAAATTTTTGAATTCTACACGGTCCTCCACTTAATTATTCCTCCTTCCATCTGTTATGGTCAACTGTGGTATTATTAGATTTGTTTTCATTTTGTTTTTTCCATGCATGGTTCATCCATGGTTCTCAGTCAAATTCTAGTTTCATAGTATGCTAGATAGTGTGCCAGAATCCTTCAAATAAGTGTCATTAGCATCTTTGAACAAATGCTTAGTTGATTGCAATACAGACTTCATTTCTTTATCTATATAGCAGACAATTAAGAGCTTTACAGTTGTTCGCTTTCTACACCTGACTAGTCACAAGCATTCTTATGAATGCAATTTCGGTGTCTGTATGTACTTCAAACTCTTTAGAAGTCGTTTGTCTTAAAACTGTCTGTTATCTTTAGCGGGACCTTGAGAAAACACTTGTTTATTGTATACTCAATTGGTGTATGTTTCAGTAAGCGAAGATAACCTACTTAATTTTGCTACCCGTATATGTATTAACCTGTTCAAAATCTCTTACCTTAGAAGTCCATTTCTTACATACAGGAAATGATATCAGGATTCATTTAAAGAAGTAGGATACATGCCCAGCCGCCGTCTTCTTGTCTTGATCATTCATTCATTATTCAGTTTTATTTATTTTATTCCTTTACGTTCCCCGTGGTCTGTCTGTTTTCGACATAGAACTTTGCACAAATGTGCGGAAGTTCAAGTCGCCACACTCCGTGTAGCACGCGAAGCAAGGGAAGAAAGTACAGGAAAAGCATAATAGAGAGAGACAGTAAACAGAGGTGTGAGACAAGGGAGTAATAACGAAGAACAAAACAGTTTCATTGGAGATCATAAGTCACAAGGAGTGGATGCATCTGCGCTAGCCACTGAGAACGATTTTGAGCCATGTCACCAATTGTTCCCAACCATTGATTTTTACCGTCCCGAGGACCTCAACCAGTCAGGAAGCCCATACCTTCCTGCGTGGCTTAGACTAACTATTGTAGATTTCATTGTCTGGTGCCATGTTTTCGTTTGACCTCCGCTAGCTCTTTTCCAGCCTGACCCTATGTCAGCTAACATTGCTCGTCGAGGAAGGTGATGACTTGGCATACGTAACACATGTCCTAACCATCTCAGTCTTTGTAACTTCACAACTTCGTCGATTGATTTCCCCTGTTTACCCGTGGAACATAGATTGGCTTCAAGCTAGAGATTTGAAGTGTCGATAGCAGCGGTAATTATTTTTACGGGATGAAGTTGCTAGCCTCAAGCCCAACCTTCCCTCTTTACCAGTCTTATAACTGGCTTAGCGAGATAAGGGGGTGTGTCGGCCGGAAATCGAACCTGCAATCACTTGTGTGGTTGACGAGCATTCTGCGCTGTGCCACCGATGCACAGAACTTTAATTATTCTGGATTCATTACTGTGAACAATTAAATAATTTGAAAACATTACTCACTCAAGCTTTATTTCATCATAATTTTCATGGTTTTACTTTTAGTTAAATCTAGACCTTGTTTATTTCCTTCATCCGGCATACTTTTGGCAATTGAATTACTTGTACTATTATTATTATTATTATTATTAAAGTCGGTTCTCATTTTCGTATTTTTCTCCATGTTCCTATCGTCCACATGTTACCAAGACTATTATTATTATGTTTTTTTCATAACAATAATTCACGCGATTGGCAATATTTATTATTCTTAATTCCTTGTTTTGCTATTCTGTTTCTGTATCTTCTTCGAAGGTGTTCTGCATTATCGTGGAAAATTTCGTGTCAAATAAAGTTGTCCCAGAATGCCAAAGATAAAGAAACGTTCGGCTGACAGCGCAAATGTTTGTAGATTGTTCTACGCTTTGAATAGTTAATTTTCACAGGTTCTTAGTTCTCGTGATGTGTCAAAAATTCGCAAACTTATGCGAAAAAATGCTGATGATGAAAAGTATGTTTCGTAAAATGATGGATTTCAGCTAAAAAAAATTTGTTTTTTCTAGACCTGATATTTCGAAATCTATCAATGCTGCTTTGGGTTTAGAGTCGAATTCTGAAGAATCTGAAGTTGAAGAGGAATTTCAACTAGATCTTCCAAATTTTGATGTATGTTTTGGATTTCTCAGTGTGCTTATTTGAAAAAAAAAAAACTCCTTCACTTTCTCTTAGGATGCTTGTGATGATGATGAAGGCGCCGTGGAAGATGATGAAGACTGGAAGAGGTTTTTCAAAACAACAAGCGAAAATAAAAACTTGATAACTGAACTTCAGAATAATTTAGCAGAATCGAAAAATAAGGCAAGTGATATCCTGTTAAACTAATTGACTTTTTCCTCTGCAAAGTATTTTTTGCTTCTTTTATTGATAAATGTAAGCTATGGTATTTTTTAAAAATTTTTGGGATTTTTATCGTAGGGGATTAAATTAATTTCAATTTAGATTTTTATTCACGAAACAATATGATTTACGGGAATTATTGATAACCAGGGAGTAGTGGGAAACTGTTTCATCCTATTCAAGTGTTGATTCTCAGAGATTTGTTTGGTTACAGGATTTCGTCATGAGCTGACATCGGCTAGAGAATCACTGGAAAACCTAGGAGTCCTGGAAAGCTGTTTCGTCAACCTAGTTTGGGACTCTTCATCAGCATGGACCCACCGGGATTCGAACCCAGGACATTCGGGTTACAAGTCAAGCTCTTAAACCATTGAGCTATTGGGACCCTAACCAATCCCATTTTCTGCCAATTCACGATATAACACTACCACTAGTCCTAGTTTAGGATTCTTCGGTACCCATGACTTCCTGCTTCAGATTACGAGGTCAAGTTTATCGACCATCCAGCCATTTAAGTTGGAATTCAGTGGGCCATAAATTCTAACTTTGTCAATGTGTTTGTGTTAACTGGGTTACCAAGAACGGATTTTTCAAGCACCAGGCAAAAAGGCAGCCTTATTTTGTGCTGGCTGATGATGCTACTCAGTAAGTTGCCCAGGCTGGAGTAGCTGAGATAGGACTCGGGTCTGGGATTTATCGGCTGAAACCAGTTAGCCACATCTCCCCTCAAATTAATGGAAACTCCAGCTTCGTACATATCAAACCGAATGAGTCTATTTCGTATTTTTAAAGACATTTTATCTGTAATAAACTGATTTCTGAATTTTCTTTTCGATTGCATAACTGTCATAAAACTTGAGTTATATTTAAAATATTCTAAGGCGGTTTCTTTCCTTAAGAACGAGTTAGAACTTAACTTTCCTGAATGGTTGATACATTCAGTGTAGATTTCGCCATAAACCGATACCAGTTGGATATTCATTAAAAACTGACTTTGGTTGGTGACGAAATCTACATTAAAGTTAGTCCAAATCCCCTGAGAATCTCATAATCCACATATCAGTCTTCAGCTCCTCGGTGGCTACTAGATGAATATCGTAAAGTTGTAATGAGAAGTTGTGGCGAATGAGGGTCATCCTGTGAAGGTGGATTTGATGCTCATTGGCTATATTGCTTGGCGGTGGCGCTATATCATGGATTGACAAAAATTATAATCTATGGATTAATTAACTTCGACCTAAGTAGTTGTCAGCACTATCAGATCATGTGACAAACTATATACTGATGATATCTGTTTGTCTGTACACTAAATCGTTTTAAAAATATTCTCTTTTGTTATTTCAGATTTCTGAGGACATGTCTCAATATACTGGTAGTGTTATTGGTGATTTAGACGCTGTCCGAGGATTTGATGATTTGAATGATCTTCCTGAAGAGTTAAAAGATCACTTAAATCTCCTAACCGACGTACTTAAACACTATCGTAGTGGGCCGTTGCCTAAAACACTGAAAATGCTACCACATTTAATTGGATGGGAGTCACTTTTGGAAATGTTAAAACCACTGGAATGGTCCGTTCATGTATATCCTCGTATTGTCAGGGTATTTGCGTCCAAAGGTCATGAACCAGCGCATCAGTAAGATTTTGTTTCTAATATTTTAAAAACTGTTTCCTGTCACTCTTAATTTGTCATTCATAATAATAACTATACGAAAACCTAATCATAGGTAATCAGAACTCAATCCCATTTTACTCCAGGGATAGATTTTTCCATGTACTATACTATGAGCTATATTTACAGGGTATGAGTCAAATGGTGCGCTTCTCATTCTCTCAAACTGCTCTAAGTGGATTAATGACTCGAACCTGGAACAACTTGTTTGCTAAAAGTCAATATTCATGAAATGTATCCTTTTACTCATTAATAAGGAAAAACACAGTTTTGTTCAGCGAGGAAACACATTTCTTTTCAGTGATTTCATTTTCAAACTTTACAGTCGTATTCACATTATACTGGTGAAGACATCAAGTGGCCCTAAATATTGCTCAGTCAATATACACGTATGATAATAAGAATAAAGACAGTTAACATGGTGCAATAAACCATATTGGATATTGTAGTTTACTTCGTTAGGGGTCCTCGACATGGTAAGGATCAGTGACTGGCGGCGACATCTAGATAATTCAAAATCGTTGATGTACACACTCCGTATAAATTCTAAGATTTCGCAATTCCTCATTAAGCTTCATCCAATTCACTTAAGTTTTGGCTGTGTCCTGTTTACTATGAATACTCCTTCATTACCGTCCTTCTCTATGGCTCTGAAACGACCAATTCGCGTTGAAGACATGAAAAGGTTGACTGCTTTCGATCATAGATGTCTGCGATCTCTGTCTCACGTTAGGTGGTTTAATAAGGTAAGTCATGTTGACGTTAGGCGTAGAGTGTTGGGCAAAGAGGGAAAATCAATCGACGAGGCTATAAAGTTACACAGATTGAGATGGCTAGGTCACGTGCTGCGCATGCCTAACCACCGCCTCCCCCGACGGGCATTACTAGCTGATAGGTACAGGTTGGAAAAGAGCCAGTGGTGGCCAAACAAAAACATGGCATCAATCCATGAAATCCTTGACAGTTAAACTGAGCCGGTCGGTCAGGTAGGGAGATGCAGACTTCCGGGTTGGGGCCCTCGGGACTCTAGGAATCAATGGCTGGAGACAGTAGGTGACATGGCTCAAAATCGTTGTCAATGGCCAGCGCAGATGTATTCAGTCTCTGTAATCTTTCATATTCCTTTCTACAATTACCCATTCTGTTTCACTCTTATACTTGTCAAACTCTATTGATTCTCTTCACTCATCTTCTTGTCTACCTTTGTGTGCTATTTGGAACGTGGCAACTCGAACTTCTGCACTTCGGTGCCAAGTTCTATGTTGAATCCAGATAGACAGACTCCTTCATTAGAATAAAGGTTTTTGTATTTTCCAATGAATGAAAAACAAAACGATATTGTCGTTTTTACTGACGTTTCGCTATTTAATGCTAATAGCCTTTATCAAATTATTATTAAACTGAAATTTACAAAATCCCCTCAGCATATATATAAGAAAAAGTTAAGAGGTGAGAAAATAGACTTAGGTCTAGTTAAAGGGGATATATTGAAAGTCAAAATAACAATGAAGATCACTAAACCAAATAACAAAGGTAATAGTACATCTGTTATGATATCAAAAGAGAGCTCACTAACTTGATCATCGTTCATCAGTCTGGGGTCATTTTTCGTTGTCAAGTTGGTCAGCCAGTAAAGGTAACAAAATCAAGTGTAGATTGTTGGGTTTGATCAGTGTATAAAATTATAAAAACAGTGTGTGTTTACGTAGTGAAATTGCTTATCACATTCGTTTTGATTTTGCCGTCACTTCATGAGGAAGGGAGGTGTTGTAACCAGGTCAGATTCTGTTTTAGTCCATCATTCCTATTCAAACAATTTGGATTCCACTTGATATGAAGTGCTTCTGATATTAGAAGTTCTCTGTGATTCCTCAAGTTTTTCTGGATTATTTCAATTTTGTGGCCTGATTCTATAGCGTGTAGACGAGCTATGGCTGATGATTTTCAGGCTTTTATAGTTCAACTGGATTTCTCGGTGGTCGAAGAGATGCTCTACGGTGTTCATTTCTTCTGATTTTGATTTGTCAAGATGTTTGTCCGTCCGATGTATATCGCACCACATTCCAAGCAAGCATTTTATTTTATAGACACGATTAGATAGAGAATCTTTTGGGATTTTGTCTTTTATATGGACAACGTTGTTTCGTAGTGTGTCTGATCTTTTGAAGAAAACTCTGATACTCTTCTGATATCGTCTGACGTCTCTGCTCTATGTGGAATGGTGACTGTTGAGGTCCATGTTTTCGGAATGCGTTTTTGACCATACTTCATTGGAGTTTCGTTAGATTACTCTTCTCTATGGTAAATTTGTAACTGGATATTCGAGTTTGTGTAACACACACTGATATACTGTTAATAACTGCATGGTGCGTCGGTGGCACAGTGGTTAGGACTCTCGCCGACCATGCACATGGTCCGGGGTTCCAGCCCACGCCGGCGCACACCTGATATCTATGGTCGGCCTGCAAAATTTGGGCTACCGATATCCATGCTGAAAATTCCATACTTGTACCAAAAATACAGTGTGGAATCAAGCTGTAAATAAAAAAAAATGGTTTTTTTCAGCAAAACTTATTTACTTATAATCTTATTACTGGAGAATAGCTGTTTCTTCCCAGTTTTGTTTATTCACCCATGGTCCCAAGTTGGATTGAACCCATGCTTATCCGGGTTATAAGACGTGCATATTGTTATTCGGTCACTAGGACGAAATCCAGTGATCTGTGGAATTTTAACTTCTGCCAGTTCACTGCCTATTACTTCCTTGTTTTCAATAATTCTCTAATTGATGTCAATTCGCGATGAAATCAAATCGAATCATGAAACACACTTTCTAGTTATCCAATTTTCTCCTAGTTCAAATATTGCCTTCACAATGGTTGACACTGGTTCACCATTTAAATTCTAAGTTTTGCATTACGAGATACAAGTTCATCATTAGTATTATTATTTTACTTGGTTGTGATTTTTTCTGGATAGCATTTCCCTTGTTATGATGATGCATACTACTGATTAATATGAGTAGAACCTAATTCGGTTATCGAGGTTATCGAAAATGCAACTCTTTGTTCACTAGTTTGTCTTTTAAGATGTTTAATAGCCATCATTAATCGCCTAAAATGTTATTTTTGATTTTCCAAAAGGAACTATTATTACTCTTTCCTCCTTGAACTGTGTAATTTACAATTATCGAATCTGATCAGTTATCCATTCAAATGAACTGTGGTCAAGATTTGACAGAATAGTTCTAAATTATTTGAGCGCTGAGTGAGCAGTAGACATTTGTAAAAAATTATATTTGTAAAATCTCAGCGAGATTGAAATGAGTAATTCCAATTTAGAACTATTCTGTCAAATCTTGACGACAGTTCATTTGAATTATTTTACAATCGAATTAAATTAACAAAGAAACTATGTAATTGGCACAATCATCATCGTGTTTCCACTCTCCGTTGTCTGAAACAAAATGCATATCCTAAATCCGTAGCTGTCGAGTCACCTGACAACTCCAGTAGGTCGAATAAAGCAGCTCAATCTCCAGAAAGAAGACAAAACAATGAGTGCGACAGGGTGCTTCAACTAAACTCTAATCCTAAACACCTTAATTTCGAAAATACGTCTAATCATAAAATTCTAGATACTAACAGTTTGAACAGACACGAAGGTGTGATGTTTGATGACGCATAGGAAATCCTGATTCATAAATAAAAATGGATATGTATCACTAACTAATAATACTTGGTCGAAATTCCTGACTATCTATATCTTCTTATGGAAACGTTAAGAAATGTTTTACAACTGTTTACCCACACACACACACACATACACACTGTTTAAAGTGCTTAACAAAGGTAGACCAATATTTGTAAGTCCGAGGTTAAATTTTGATCACAGCTCGTACAATTTTGTTTATTATACTTGTTAATACTTGTTTTATGAATCATGATTGGACAAAGTTTTTAAAAACAAGAAACGTTCCTTTTATATTTAAACCTCTGTTATGTTAATTTCGATTAATTTCCCTGAAGAAGTTCGGACCAGATTGCCGAACGAAACGTTGGAATTACTCATTTCAATCTCGCTGAGATATTACAAATATAATTTTTTACAAATGTCTATTGTCTATATGTCTCGTGCGTCGGTGGCACAGTGGTTAGGACTCTCGCCGACCATGCGCATGGTCCGGGGTTCGAGCCCGCACCGACGCACACCTGATATCTATGGTCGGCCTGTAAAATTTGGGCCACCGATATCCATGCTGAAAATTCCATACTTGTACCGAAAATACAGTGTGGAATCAAGCTGTAAATCAGAAAAAAATAATTAACTATCCTTTGATGTCTCTGAAATGGAAGATTAATATCTCCGTATATATCCATCAGTTATTGCGTTAAGTTAAGCTCTTAAGTCTCAAGAATATGTGTATTGTCGCCTAATGCACCGTGTTCATAAATCAATATTTTTAGGAATGCCTTTTTTTACATTTCCTAAATTAAATCACGATGAAAGTGGATTGTTTGTTATTTTGCCTTTTTTTCTTTACTTTGGTTTTTTGCTACTCACTTCAGCTTTTACGAGCTTTATCTATTGCCTAAAGTGAAACAGGATATTGAAGAAAATAGACGTTTATGCGTCCATTTATTTGAATCACTGATCGCGTCAATGTTTCGTCCAGAAGAATTCATCTCTGGTGTTTATTTACCCTGGGTTCAGGTAAATACATACATATATATGTATATTTTATTTAATTATGTTATCATGTTGTCCTTCAGCCAATGAGATCCTGCTTCGATTGCTTGCGGGGAAGTGCATCCGTTTCATACCTTATGTGTGTGTGTATTTGTGTAACTGATGCTACATGAGAGATGTACTCCGTGTAATTGAATTCAAGCAACATTAAATTGCTTACTATGCAATCCATTCTTATTAGATTCTATTTATGCGTCGTCGGCGGTCACTAGCCACATGGGAAGTTCGGGTTCAATTCCCGAATAAACACCTCCTAACATCACCTAACTTTTTTTCCTTCACATTCCCCAGTAGAACATAGGGCTTCAAGCTAGTGGTTTGAAGTTTCTGCAGCAGTGTTTGTTTTACAGGATCGGGTTGCTAGCCTTATGCCCAACCTTTCCTCTTTACCAACATTATTTCTGGCTTAGCGAGGTAAAGGCGTGCGTCTGTGGCTGGGGATCGAACCGTGGACCATGTGCATGGTCGGCGAGCGTCTTAACCGCTATGCCACCGACGTACAAAGCGGAGTACGTCTGCCGGGAACCGAACCCGGGCCGTCCGCGTGGTAGGCGAGCATTCTACCATTGAACCACCGGCGCCTACAACACATCACCTAATTTACTAGCGGGAGTGTAAGGCCAACAACTCCATGCCACCCCCCACTCATTGAAAACAACACCATCAACGGTACTTCAGAGCTTGAAGTCGTATGTCCCACTTAAAATACAAGGTATGGAAAAAGTGATTCTGTAGAAAGAATCTATGTAAAGAATAAAGTGAACTATTGTGCAAATAGGTGTGTATATAATATAAGGGGATAGTTTGTTTTTGAGTTGATTGAAAAAAAGGTCAAACTAGATGTGTGCTATTTTATTATGCGTAGTGTTATCTTAATCCTGAACTTTGAAAATATTTTTAATGAGAATATCCTTAAGATGTAAAGAGAAAAGAAAATTTCCTTTCCGACGATTCATTGATATAAGAATAAAACTTGTGCACTGTGGTAGAGTATAATAATTCCATTATGGGTAAATTTTTTGTTTTGATAAAGTCTCACAGTGTTGTTATACACTAATGTTTACTGATGACCACGTTTCGAGCACAATTTATTGCTACTCATAATCATATCAAGGTACTCACACGACTTCCTAACTTCATTTATATAGTTCCATTATATTTCACTTGATTTGATTGGTAGTAGTATTTTCCATATTTTCGGTATGAGTGATGACTCATTCCTATTGCATGTGTTTGGTGTAGACTCGACGAACAAGGATTCAGTAATCAACCTCTCTCTCCACCTATCCAGATTGCTTTTTAGAATTTTAACCCTCTCCCACCCTATTGTGCGGTTGTGTTTTAATGCATGCATTGCAATAGCTGAGCTCATTTCTAAATTACTTATCTTTTCAGGGTCAACCATTCTTACCTTAGCTAAATTCTTATGTTCCGACAATCTGACTACCCCTGACCTACTAGTTTGACCTATGTGGTTGACCTAACTCACAGTCATTGCAGGCTATTTTGTAAATTATATTATTTTGTCTAATTGGTCCAACTGGGTCCTTTAACCTACAGAGCTTGTCCTACCTGAGTGAGTTTGTAAGTTTGAATATCACTCTAATTCCTGTTTTATTGAGAATCTAACATAGGGTCTCAGATGTCCCCTCTTTATATGGTAAAACTGTAGATGACTTATATTCTCTCTTATTTATTGTTATTATTACTACTTTCACAATTATTTTTCTTTTTCTTTTGGCCTTTTTCGATCTTCCTAATGAATTTTAAAGGATAGTTGGAAATGGTTTTCATGATGTGTCCACGTAGACTCACTGACTGACTTAACATTGGTGTTGTCTACGCTGAGTGAGTCAGATTTACATACTGATTTCTTGCCATTCTTACCTCGTGTGAGTGAATACCTTGATATGATTATGAGTAGCAATAAATTGTGCTCGAAACGTGGTCATCAGTAAACATTACTGTATAACAAAACTGTGAGACTTTATCAAAACAAAAATTTACCCATAATGGAATTTCCGATGATTCATTTCCATAAGCTGTACAGTCGTAATTATATTTAACAAAAAAAATCATGAGACCGATCAGATGCTGGTAAAATTTGCCTCGAGAAACGTATAATGTAATGTGGGGTGTAACCTAGACGGGGTGACTAATTGGAAATTAGAAAAGAGGCAGCAGTTGGTATGACGTAATAAGTGTGAGAAAATGACTAATCAATATAATTGTATAGAGTGGACAAAAACGAGTGGAAAGACGATAAAGTGTCTTCATAAAATCTGTATGAAAATGCAGTCTTATTAATAAGCAGTAATAGAGTGATAATAAAGTTAGGATGATGGGAATAATGATAATAAAGTTGCATAATAGAAGAAGCAAAATTATGGTAAGAACGTAACTTTGGCCACGGTAAAGGCGAGTGAATGTATGTAGCGCTTTTGAATGCAGAGGTCCGGTTTCAGATTCTGAATAGCCAATAATAATTCAGCTATGTACAGATGGCATATTCGAAGTTCTTTTTGTACAATATTGGAGGACTCTGTATCGTAGCACTGTGAAGTCTTCATGTGGGGTTGCTCGATGTCTAGAGTGATGAGGTGTTTGAGGATGAAGCTGCTACTATTCTCTTTTTCTCCTCTGTCTAACCATGCTGAACAGTGTTCCAGAATGTGTTTGTGGATTTGATTCGGCGTCGGTGGTATAGCGGTTAGGACGCTTGTCTACCATGCACATGGTCCGTGGTTCGATTCCCGGCCGACGCACACCTTTACCTCTCTAAACCAGAAATAATTCTGGTAAACAGCAAAGGTTGGGCATGAGGCTAGCAACCCCATCCTGTAAAATAAACTCTGCTACAGAAACTTCAAGCTACTAGCTTGAAGCCCTATGTTCCACTGGGGAACGTGAAGGAAAAAAAAAACAGCCGACATACTTTGCTCGCCATAAGCAAGTAAATACACATCGGGAGTTGATGGCCAAAAGTGCTATCTTATCCTTAACGTTAGTTAGACTGGATAAATTGTATGCTAGAGAATGTGATGTGTAAGGTGGTGGCTGCTTGAAATGTCTTCATCAGACTCTTAGAAAGGCGGTTTCTAAGAATTTCTACTTCATACATTTATTCCCCTTAATGAATTTGAACAAAGCAAGAACTATAGTTTTAGCAGAATAAAATGGTACCATCTTTTATTTCGTTGCCTTCTCGCCAGCTGCTTACATGGCAAAGACATTATTAAATATATATCTACAACAACAATTTTGACATACTTGCACAGAGTTCATTTTAAACAAAAATCAGTCGATCAATATGCGCATACACTAAAAATATTATTATTGTATTCTTTAGTTCCTAGAGTAACATAGGGCTTCATCTGCGCACCTCCATTGCCTTCTGTTTTCTGACAACTTTTTCACCCCGCTCCAGGTCTGTCCATATACTTTCATCTCCTCTTCGCATGACCTCCTCCAAGTCACTCTTGCACTGACGACCAACTCGCCGCCTCCCTTTCGGGTTCCACTCGAGCAATGGCTTGTCTAGTGATGTCACTTGTTGGTTTCCTCAGGGTATGGCCAATCCATCTTCATTTCTTCCTGCCTATTTGCTTCACAATCGGTTCCTGCTGAGTTTGTTCGCTCCCAGAGACCCCTGTTGCTGATCTTTTTTGGCCGGCCGTCTGATCTTGAGTGGTATTGAGCGAAGACAACTGTTGATGAAGGTCTGGAGTTTGTTTGAGGTGCTCTTTATGACTCTCCAAGTCTCCGATCCGTATAGAAGCACTGACTTTACATTGGAGTTGAAAATCCGGATGTTATTTTTGATGCTGAGTGGGGCTGTTGAACTCCACACAGACTTAAGAGTAATGAAAGCTTGTCTTGCTTTTCCGATTCTGCCTTTGATATCCTCGTCAGTTCCGTCCGCCTGTAGTTGAAACGATGCTTCCCAGGTAGGTGAAGGAGGTTGTTTCTTTCAGGTTCCTCCCATTTATGCTGGCTGATTGTTGTCTGTTGTTGATGTTGGCTAGGAATCTTCATCACCTCTGTTTTATCTACGTTCACTTGAAGTCCTATCTTTGATGCTTCTTCCGCCAACTTGTTGCTTTTCACTTGCATATCTTCCAGTTTGTGGGAAATCAGAAATCACTAAAAATATATACATATATAAATGTGCAATATTAAACAGTATTCCGAACAATAATAGTCAAACACAATGGAAACTTTTAGCATTTCACATTCGGAAGAAAGAGAGGTGAAATTATCCAGTTACCAAGCAGGGCAAAGAAAGACTGATAACTGCTTCTTTCTGGACGCATAAATCAGGTTTCAGGCGCTTGATTGTAATGGCAGACGAACATAATTTTTGTCTTCTATCATTTCAATGCAATACACATATATATTACATTACAAATCCAATGAATTTAATTGGATGTAATAACAATTTTTCTTATTTTGAATTTATTATGTTTTCCGAGAAATTTATATGTATATTTGTGTGATATTGAGAATTTCGCTATAACTTTGAATGATGAGAATGCGTATTTATTGATTTCCAAGACTGAGCTCAATTCTCCTTAAGTTTGCTGAAGCAATTTCCATCAAGCGCCTGAAATCTGATTTATGCATCCAGAAAGAAGCGGTTATCAGTCTTTCTTTGCCCTGGTAACTGGATAATTTCACCTCTCTTTCTTCCGAATGTGAAATTCTAAAAGTTTCCACTGTGTATGATTATTAGTTTTTGGAATAGTGGTTAATATTGCATATTTATATATGTATATATTTTTAGTGTATGCGCATATTGATCGACTGATTTTTGTTTAAAATGAACTCTGTGCAAGTATGTCAAAATTGTTGTTGTAGATATATTTAATAATGTCTTTGCCATGTAAGCAGCTGGCGAGAAGGCAACGAAATAAAAGATGGTACCATTTTATTCTGCTAAAACTGTAGTTCTTGCTTTGTTCAAATTTCTACTTTGAATGTCACCACGTTCAATGTAATTTTTGCCGATGGAGGCTTTTCTTTTATGTTTTTGGCGATTAATCTTGGTGGATACACGTTCTCTAATAGGGTTTCACACAATAAGTTTGATTCTTTATCGTGTCTTCCGAACAGATATTCTTTAATCCTTGGACTTAATGTTAAATATAATTACAGTTGTAGAGCTCAAGAAAATGAAAATGGTCGAAAAGAAAATTTTCTTCTCTGTTTACATCTTTATTTTTCTTATGACTCAATTATGGGAGTATTTCGTTCAAAATAAATGAACATTCAACAATACCTGTAACTTAGTTGTATTACTATTTTTATCAAACTTGAACAAAGCAAGAACAACATTTGTACCAGAATAATATGAGCTCATCTTTTATTATTTCGAGGTTTCTTCTCAACTGGTTACAACCTAAACGTTAAAAATTTGAATTACATTAAAGATATGAACATACTTTTCCACGATCATAAGGAGTAATTGATAGGAATTAAAAGTAACATTAGTCCGGAATGATTTAACGGATTAGGAGTTACAAACACTGACTATTTATAGAATAATTAGACAATTAGGCTTGGAAACAAAAAACAGGGTTGCGTATATATATATGTATAGAAACAAGATATAGCTAGAAAGAGTATAATAAAAAGGTAGATTACGTAACTAAAGAAAACGTCTTATCTAATAGCCAATAGAAAAAAGGAAAGAAAAGAAACAAGGTAGGATGAGTCATGTTTAGATGAGAGAGTAGAGTTTTCTAAACATGAAAAAGGTGACTCATGAAAGTTGTATATTTTTTTTTTATCACCAGCACAGTGCAATATTCACCACTGTCTCTTTCTGTGTACATAAATTCGGTTTAAGTCGTTTGATGGCAATTGCTTAAGCAAAGCGTAGCAAGCTAGGTTTCTTTTGCTTGTTGATTATTTTGAACGACTTCAGGTTGCCTACAATATGACCAGTGTCCAATAGATGACGAGCAATCGCACTGTTTAATGCTTACGGACCTTTCAGTCTCAGGTTCTTTGGTATGTGTTCATAAATGTGGACACTAACCCTTCTCTCTGTTCTTCCAATGTATGTGCTTTGGCACGTACATGTAAATTGGTAGACAAAGTTGGAGGTAACATGAGGTGGGTATTTGTCCACTTTTGATTGTCTCAAACAAGTAGTTGTTTGATAAACACATACAAGCTTGGAGGCTGGATATGTTCTTTTCAGGGCAGCGTTCAGTCTGCATCTTATTCTTTGAATGCAAGCTGCAGAAAGATAGGCTTTTTATCTACTGTGATGCCTTTCACTTTTTCAACATGACGTCTCCCATACTTGTCGATGGACTTTTGTGGGTAACCATTGTCGCGTAGGCATTTCTCCACAATTGATAGCTCTTCCTCAATCTTTTCTTCTGAACACAGTTTCCTCACACGATCAAATAATGTTCTCACCAATCCCTTTTTGTAACTTATAGGGCAGAAGCTTTTGAAGTTAGGTTAAACCGCCCTCCAGGTCTCTTTTCTGTGTATATATCGTATGACTTTGGCATCTTTATCTCGTTGGATACCCAAGTCCAGAAAATGGAACTTCTCTTTTTCATAATCGGTTGTAAACTTAATGTTAGGATGGGCGCTGTTTAAGACTTCTAATACTTGAGATGCATCGTTGAAAGAATTACAAATAACGAAAATGTCATCGACATACCTGGTATAGAAGTTTGTCTGACTGATTGCGGATTTTAACCTTGTTTGTAATAGACTACCCATAAAAATATCTTCCAGAATCGGACTCAGGGGGCTTTCCATGGCGACTCCGTCAATTTGGCGGTATAGAGTGTTGTTGAACTGGAACTGTACGTTTTTGGTGTACACATAAGTAAAAGTTGTTTGAGTTCGTTCTTGGGCAGAGGAAGAAGTTCGGCATGTTGACATATAATTTGTATTGTTTCCTCCAATGGGATCCTTGTAAACAGTGAAGACACGTCGAAGGACACCATAAATTTGTTTGAGATGTTTAGATTCTCTAATTGTTTAGCGAAACTTTTATCAAACTTTGTAACTATAAAAAGACACTACTTTGTTAATTAGTTATGTAAGATGTTGGTTTTATCTTATTTCGTTGGTGAGTCTTTTGGTTGACATAAAGTTGAGTGAAGTGATTTTGTTAGTTTTTTTGTGCGACGTCAATTCCTAAAGTCTTTCAGTGATTTCTGCGATGTCTGGTTTTGATATATATATATATATATATATATATATATATATATATATACTTGGCAACTTGTGTATTCAACTATCTGTTTTAAACCAGCAAACTTATGCTTCTCCACACTGTTCAAATACAAAATTTCTTTAATGTACTGGTGTTTTTAACTATTTCACTCTTCCGATTAATCTTTTTTTATATTTTTCAGTCAGAGATGTCTAAAACTGAAGGTGTTATCCTATCGAATCTAATTAAACGTGCAACACTTAAATCACGTTTTGCTGCAGTTGCACTAGCGCTTACCTTGGAAGAAGATTTCAGTATTCCAAGATCAATGGTTATTGAAACATTTCTAGCGAAGAAGTATCATTTACCAGAAGCTGCTGTTCATAGAGTTATTGATTATTTTATCAGGTTTGTTTCCCCGTAAAACAAGTTTTATATATGCCTCTTTGATTTTGATTGTATTATTTATGGTTCATGTGGTCAGGCTTTGAGCTTTATAACTCCTGTAACTTGTCCTCAGTCTTGAAAGAGACCATATCCCTTCTGAGATTCGAACCCGTGTCACCCAGTGGTGTAGTCAGAGACGTCGCCAGTGAGCTATCAGAGGACGCGATTGATCTCCTATAGGAGTGTATTAGATAGTTCTTTCAAGATTGTATATACGCCTTGCTGGTAAGTGCCAAAAAGCACAAAATGTAGGTCCAGGTAGAGGGCTTCCTGCTAATTCTCTACAATCATCTGATAACAACAATTCTGAAGGCACCGTGATAGCGAGCCATCTAGTGGCATGCTGGCCAAATCCAGTCGAAGTACTGTGATGTGTGTTTGAATCTTCCTTCACTTTTGTTACAGTTTGAGCTTGTGGTTACTGTCATGGTAGGTGTTGCTTTAAACTCTGGTGTATAAACTTGTGCAGGTTGTAGAATAATAGGGAACATTTGTAGCTCAGATAGGTAGATGTTTTTGAGCTGTATATTGTAATAGTGAAGCTTCTGTCGTCGTTCTTTTAGATAACATCTTCAGCATTTAATTTAATGTGAAGTAAGCTGTAATCATGAAAAAGTCCCTATTCGTATCCCACTCAGCTGATGTCAGCCTGGGGAATATCATTAGCCCCTGACAAACAGTAAGTTTGGCACATAGCCTGATACACGAGTAACTGTTTCAGTTAGTTATGTAGTTCTTTTTGGTTCTTTGTCATGCATATTTTATAAGAAGTGAAAAGACTGTTTTTCACTAGATATTCGGAGTGCATTCGGATCACTGCATGATATTGTATTGTGGAAGGAAGTTGCGAATTTGATCGACTATTGTGTAAACTCCTCAAAGTGCTGTAAACATTCATTTGTAGTTCAACAAAAGAAGAAACTTACTAAATACGATGATGTATACTACTGATCGGTACGTTGGTGGCCGCCAACCAGGCAGGCGGGACTGGGTTCGATCCCCGGCTGACTCACTCCTTTACCTTACCACCAAGCCAGTAATAAGACTGGTTAAGAAGGAAGGTTGGGCATGAGGCCAGCAGCAATTCTATCTCGTAAAAATAAATACCACTACTACTGAATGTATTTAAGGTACATTTTCAGCTTGTTTTCACAACGTATTGAGTTTTTTTTAATGTTTTAATTTCAAAAGTGGGTTAATATATTTCACCGGTAGACTTCGAATGCTTCTAGAGACTATATGGTATATGCTGGTTTTTAAATAATGGCGCCATCAGCTTGATACGGTGGGTTATTAGTGCGTTTCAATAAATAGGTCAAAATATTCCGGCATGAATTCATGAAAATTCAATAATGTACAATTGACTTTTAAAATTACTGCCTCCTTTAATCCATTCCATTGCTCAGATATCAGTACCAAGTCAGATTTTATGATAAAACTACAATTATATGTAGCACAAACAGCTCAAGATTATAATGCTGCCGATAATGTGGACGTCAGCTAAGGGGTTTTTTATGCACAGTTACATTCAAAAACCACTTAAATCATATAACTTGTTGTTAAACCGCTATAGCAATGAACTACGACGCTAAAATTAGCGGGGATGTACAATAAAGCCACTCGAATATTTTTTTGTGATGTCTAGGCTTCGTTTTAGTCGTGTCTTAGAAATACTGTGGCATTTCAATGACACATGTGTGTATGTATATACGTCGTGCGATCTATCCTTACTAAATGGTTTCATAGAAGGGGAAACAACTGTTTATTTCCAGACACTATGGAAAATATTTCTTGACATTGAATGTCATCTTGTGCAATGCTAATTCACTGTTGTTGTCTTTATACATCTTTTTTTGTAGTTTTGATAAAGATTGTACAGCTTATCTAACAGATGAAAAACGTATGCCGTTAACATGGTTTAAAAGTCTCCTAGTATTTTTAGAATACTATCGACATAATATTAATCCGGATCAACGTGAAAAATTGCTGAAATTATGCCGACGACATGAACATCCACAGATTACTCCAGAGATTCGAAGCTTTCTTGGAACTATTCCAGCTGTTAAATAAGACAGACAATTAAAACTCTCAGAATGTTATTGATTTGTAAATAAATTCATTTGTGATAGTAGTAAAACAGTTTTAGTTTGTGTTTTCCTTATTTTTTAAATACCTTTGCGTTCTGAAGGGAATGTTGAGTTTTTTAGTCTCGAGGTTTCACTAGTTCTCGTGTTATTTTTATGGAGAGTAAAGTTATTAGTTTTACGGCCAACGTTACCTCTTTTGAAGGTTTTCTACAGGCCATATGAGGTTCAGGCGTGCCTCAGCTGTGACCTCTTACATGGCTACGTTTGGATCACCGATGTCCCGTGTTTTCCCCAGTGAACGAAGATGTCTTTATTAGATTGCGTACATACGTGGAGTAAGAAGGGAGCATTTCCTGTTGAATCTAGGATGATTGATCCTACTAATTTTAGTAATCTACGAATAATCTCAGCCATGGCATTTAGAGTAAATAAGTTGAGAGCCCTATTAATTAAATAAACACTAAAAGCTGTGCAATCGAAAAGACGCGACACCTATACCTGATATAATGAATTCAACAAAGAAGAGCTGTTGCTGTCATGTACTGCTGTAAAACTCTCAAGGTAGTTGGCCTTAATATTGCAGAGGTGGCTGATGCGGGAGAGCCTTCAACGTCCATACACCGAGCATTTACTCTGCAACGACATGTCATCGAGTCTCCTTTCCTGCTTGTGTTTAACGCCATGGAGAAGGTGCCGAGGAGTACTTGTGTCGCCTTTAGGAACAAGTCTCCCCAGAAGCCATTAATTTGCATATTGTACATCTGTTAGAAGAGAGACAAAGGTTCACCGAAAGTAGTCCGACATCACCAGCAGAGGCACTTCCAATTACCAACGCGAATGAGTCGCTTCCGAAGGTCCTAGACAGAGATGCAATGCCGATGTACGATGTCACCACTCAGCGAACCAGCGCCAGCTTTTCAGCGTGTCAAGACAGCCACCACACATCTAGAGTGGAAACCATGACGTTTCCCTCTATCTGCCCACAATCATGACTGATGGTGGGTTGCGTGGACTCTCGCGTTTCAAGAGAAAATGGTGAGTCCCTACTTGTTATTTGTAATGTAATGAGATATCAGAGGGCACATATGTAGCTAGTCACTTACCAATCGTCTAAGTAAGATTCCAGGGCAAAACCCTCACTGGACTGTTAGATACCGATGCAGGTCCTACGTTGTTAACAAGTAGGTATTGTAGTGACAAACTATTGACACCCATTGACAACTTCGAGTGACCAATGGGCCCGGAATAAAAGCACTCGGGGAACTGGGAATATTACGACAGGGTATAGGTTATCGCATATGGCATCTATGACTGGTAATTAATGAACTCTCATAGGACTTAATTGTGGGCTGCAAGGCCTCAATCGATATAGTTACACAAGCTCTCGCTCCATTCCGTTTTACGTTATGGTTTAAGTTAGACGGTAATACCACATATCTGCAGTTGATACGACTTTAATGGCGAAAATATCAGCACATGTCCCTAGGGAACACAAAGTTGCCATACGTCAGCTAATATCAGATTTTTCTGAGTTAGTCTCATATCCACTGAGTGAAGTGAGGAGAACAAGGACTATCAAGCATAATACTGACAAGGAGAATTGTGTCTCAATAAGACAAGCACGTCGCTAAGCTCTGCCCACAGCTTGGGAGCATTATTAAGGAAATATTGCAGAAAAAGATAATTACACCATCGAATTCAGCGTGAGCTTTTCCTACAGTGCCAGTTAAAAAGAAAAATGGATACCTCCGTTTGCCACGGAAAGACGCTTACCCCTTGCTGCATAAGGGTGAAAAGTGAGAAGTATTGTCAGGTACCGTCTGGTTTTCAACCATTGATTTAGCTTTGGTATACTTGCAGGTTGAAGTGCATCGTCCTGACCAGCATAAATCTACTTTATACCTACAGGTTTGTACGAATTCCAGACCATTCCTTTCGGCTTAGGTAATGCACCATCAACTTTTGAAAGGTAAATGAGTAGTGACCAATTTTATTACTCATCAGTAAAGCTTACTTTCACTCTGTAAATGGACTTTGATTGGTTTATCACTCTAAAGATTGCGTGTTACAAATTGATACATTTTTACCCGCTCAGGTTTTGAATTTTGATCACCGCGTTAATGCACGTTCGTACTCCTTTTCAATCGCCTTATGATTTACGTTGTGGATGTCGAGCAAACACAACGTTAGGATACAACAATAAACGAGAAGACGTACTAAGACATACGCTAGTGTACGCTAGTTTGGTCAGATAAAGCACCACAACAAATGCATCCGGCACTTAAAATGCTAGTTCCAAAAGTTTGCACGGTATATTTAGACGATACCATTTTGTTCAGTTATTCTTTCAAAGAACGCCTCGAAAGACTGCGCTTGGTCTTGGGATGTTTGAAGGAGGTAGGTATCAAAGTTCAGCAAAATGAATCTCGTCTCTTCAGGAAACAAGTCACGCTCTTGGGGCACGCGATCAGTGCAAACACAGTACAAGGCGACCCAGAAAAGTGTATGTCCGAAGGAGAATGGCCCGTACGAAAGTCAACGAATGAGCTAAATAGTTTTCTGGGATTAGCTTTGTATTACTGTGGTTTTGTGAGAATCTATTCGGGAATCGCCAGTCGTTTGACAAATTTAACCAGCAAAGTTATCCTTTTTGTACGGACGGGGATTTTGACCGTGATTTCCATCATTTGAAAAATTCGTTATGCTAGGGGGTCACTTAAGCTTTCCCAGATACATCTCCAACAGCTCGTCACTAAACCTTAGACACCAATACAAGTCATACAGCCATTAGGGCAGTGTTATATGAGGTCGATAGCGATGGGAAGGGACATGTTATAGAATTCGGCTGTTGCACATTAAGCCAAGCAAAAGAGAAATACTGTATTTCGAAAAATACCCATTTATTCATAAGTAAAAACACAGTTTTTGTTCAGCGAAGAAATTTCTTTTCAACGACTTCATTTTCAAGCTGTACAGTCGTATTTATATTACAGAAAAAGGTTATTAAGTGGCACTAAATAATTGCTCAGTCAATGTACGTATATGTGATAAAAGTTATAAGGGGTAGAGTTGGAGTGGATAAATTACAAAAATATTAAAGATTGTTCTATAACAAAAATGTCAAGTGTTGTCTAAAAAATTATGAAAATTAGGAGTACGATCACGATAAGAATGAAGATGTGAAGTGAAGTGGAAAGAATTCAAGTGGTAAAATAAAATAAAAACTAGAAAGAAAATTATTATGACCAAGGTAAAGAAAGGGGTTTGACAAAACGCTTTTGAACACATAATTTAGGTTTCTGTTCATGTATAGCTAAAGCTTCGGCTATGCATAAGTGCAGAAAACGTAAACTTTTGGATCGATTGGATTTCGCCATGTATATAACTTTGAAAGATGAATCACGTGGGGCTAAATGACCAGACTCTAACAGGTGATCACAAATAGACGACTTTGCAGTTCTACGTTCACCTTTCATTAACCAAACCGGATAGTGTTCAGCTACACGTTTTCGGAGATTACGCTTACAACGTCCAATATAAACAGCTCCACAAGAGCAAGTAAAAGAGTAAATGCACATAGATGTGGACAAAAGCGGTAATGTATCCTTGACGCATAGTCTGATCATATTTCGGCTGGTAAAAACTAGTTGCAGGTCAGCTGCAGGAAAAGTACGTTTAATACATTTAGATAAACGATTTTTAATCAATTCTGAAATGGTGTCACCCTTGAATGCAAGACTCATAAACAGCTTTTTCTTTGGTACTGTGACTTGTCTCGGGGTGGATTCTTTCTTGATGTTACGTTCAATGAACCTTGTGGGATAACCATTATTAAGGAGATTTGATCGAAGGTTGTCTAGTTCCCTATCGATTGTCTCTGGAGAGCAGATTTTACGAATTCTTGAGCATAAGGAGTGAATAAGATTTCTCTTTCTCCCTAAAGGTACCCAACTGTTGAAGTTAGTGTACTAACTTCAACAGTTGGGTACCTTTAGGGAGAAAGAGAAATCTTATTCACTCCTTATGCTCAAGAATTCGTAAAATCTGCTCTCCAGAGACAATCGATAGGGAACTAGACAACCTTCGATCAAATCTCCTTAATAATGGTTATCCCACAAGGTTCATTGAACGTAACATCAAGAAAGAATCCACCCCGAGACAAGTCACAGTACCAAAGAAAAAGCTGTTTATGAGTCTTGCATTCAAGGGTGACACCATTTCAGAATTGATTAAAAATCGTTTATCTAAATGTATTAAACGTACTTTTCCTGCAGCTGACCTGCAACTAGTTTTTACCAGCCGAAATATGATCAGACTATGCGTCAAGGATACATTACCGCTTTTGTCCACATCTATGTGCATTTACTCTTTTACTTGCTCTTGTGGAGCTGTTTATATTGGACGTTGTAAGCGTAATCTCCGAAAACGTGTAGCTGAACACTATCCGGTTTGGTTAATGAAAGGTGAACGTAGAACTGCAAAGTCGTCTATTTGTGATCACCTGTTAGAGTCTGGTCATTTAGCCCCACGTGATTCATCTTTCAAAGTTATATACATGGCGAAATCCAATCGATCCAAAAGTTTACGTTTTCTGCACTTATGCATAGCCGAAGCTTTAGCTATACATGAACAGAAACCTAAATTATGTGTTCAAAAGCGTTTTGTCAAACCCCTTTCTTTACCTTGGTCATAATAATTTTCTTTCTAGTTTTTATTTTATTTTACCACTTGAATTCTTTCCACTTCACTTCACATCTTCATTCTTATCGTGATCGTACTCCTAATTTTCATAATTTTTTAGACAACACTTGACATTTTTGTTATAGAACAATCTTTAATATTTTTGTAATTTATCCACTTCAACTCTACCCCTTATAACTTTTATCACATATACGTACATTGACTGATCAATTATTTAGTGCCATTTTTGTTATAATACAATCTTTAATATTTTTGCAATTTATCCACTCCAACTCTACCCCT